GTTGGTTGGTGTTAGTAGTGGGGTTTCAGAATGGGTGTCTGCTGTGGAAAGCTACAGAGCTGATGATGGATGTGATTGTTCACAAAGCACAATCAGTCAGAACTGTTTTTCTGGGGTTAATCTAAAAGTCCTCTAGAATGTTCCAGTTACACAGTTGAAGCATACCTAATTAGTTTTTATGAAAATAGCACATCTAGGATGATTACACTAGCATGTCTAATTATGATATAATTATCAACTCCACTTTTAATTAAAATGCCATAAAGCAAGCTAAGGAACTATTAAAAAGAAAAAATTGATAACCTGAAAAACCTCCTAACAGCTAAAAGAAAACTCCCTATTTTTTGAAAAATGCATGCATTTTAAACTGATGAATGCTCTGTAAGCTCCAGGCATCTAAATATAAAATATTCAGAATCTCTAATAAAGTAATGACATCTTTGGATAAAGGAACTCACAAAACATTGCTTTACTGCTCGTTTAGCTGAATAAACTTTGCCACGGGTGAGCAGGTTTAGCCAGCCAAAGCTTACAGTTGTGTTGCTCTGGCTGTCCCAGTTGGCAAAGTTCTATGAGTAAAACGTGATATTTGCATCACCAGCAGATCCTTCTGAAGATGTTCCCTCCTCAAGCAGCGTGACATACATTTTGAGATGATTGAAGCTCTTCTTGGACAAGAGGAAGCACGGTGTGGCTGTCTGTAGAGAACTGCGCACAGGTAGAGTGAGGGTTCATATGAATCTCCTAATGGAATTGCTCGAGATGCTGCTGGTCACACAAGGAAGTGTCAGCCTCACAGAAGTTATTGTAACTTCCCTGCAGTTTGGGGCATACGAAAATGCTGGGATCCAGCCGAGTTTGGGCACTTCTCTTTGAAATAGTTGTGCTTTGGATACGGTTTGTCTTTTGTCAGAGTTTCCATAAGCAGTGAATGGCAAAGAAGGGAGAGTGTGGAAGCCTGCTGAGTCACTGTCCCTTTTAGCTGGAGGAAAAGGACGAGGCGCAGAGGAACTGAGAATGTAAGTTAATAATAAAAAGCATTTACATGGTACAAACAAGAAATTGGAGATCTCAGTGTTACTGAAAATGAGGCTGGTGTGGCATCTCAGATCCGAGCTCAGGTTGTGAATCTTGTTTCATTCTCATTACCTTTTTGCAGTGTAAATACAAGACAGTTTATAGATAATCTGGAAGAAATTTCAGACCAGAGAAGTTTTTTTGTTGACTTGAAACATGTACCTTTTTGAAAAGGAGAAAATATTTATTCCGAAATTATATCTATACTGTGGCTGTGCCTCTTTTGTGCCAAAATGGGCAATAGAAAAAGTGTACATTTTTCTGATTTTTTGGGACATTTTGTACATTAAAAGAATTAATCTCCAAGTGCTTTGATGAACGAGCAGTTATCTTTAAAGGAAGGTCAGTTACTGATTAGGAAAATTATAGTTTGTGGTATTTCTGTACAGCTCTTCAATTCTGTGTATTAAATCACAATCCTGGCTTTATGAGTGGAGTGGAGCATGCAGAAGTTGACTGCTTAGTATTTTATGCAGTAGTTATTTGCCAAGTTGTGGTGGGGTTTTCTGGGTTTTTATTTTATTTTATTTTTAAGTGGAGTGCATTAGGAATTTATAAGCACAGAGGTAAGGAAAATATGGGACAGGAAGATAATCGTCAAATGGGACATCAACAACATCTGGCTCTGGACTGATGAGGGAATTCCTGGTCTCACAGGCCAAGGCACTGATGCTAAAAAGGTAGTTTTACTCAGAGGAAAAACGTTTAAAAATATATTGTCTGATCTTCAAACTAAAATAAATAGTGGAGAAACACGCATTAATGTAAATATCCTCACATAAAGTGTGTAAAACGCACATGCCTAGGGAGCAGACAGATTTCCTTCTATAGAGACACTCGCTTGTATTTACATTCCAGTTCTTTCATGAAGATGATAAATGATTGCTGTCCTCATGTTTTCTGAAAAACAAACAGCTTTGCAAATAGTAACAATCAAAATAAGGCAAGATTATGAGAAAGTGATTTACATCAAAGTTCCAGATGGTTGTTGTTATAATGGCCACTATGTACTGGGGCTTTCAATAATTATTATTAATCTGCTAAATTACACTAAAACCTTGTTTTACACAAAAAATAAATCTCAGTGAGAATCTCAAAGTATTTCTTTTTGGACACACTTTAAGCACTTGTTTCCCATTGTTCTCTGGCGTTTAGTGAACTGTTTCGCTGAGGTCAGTGCTACTTGCAGTTGTCCTCTGTGGGAGTTCTTTACACCACAGCATACGTACCGGGCTGCTGTCGAGGCTCACTGTACACCTTCTCAATCTGTTCTACTCCGAATAATATTTAACTCCCTGCTTTTGAAGTTTAATTCCTCTTGTTTTCTTTCATCATATTTGCAATTATTAGAAAGATGGAAACAAGGCACTGAATTCCCCAGGGCACTATTACTATTTCACTTCCACATTAGCATCACCTTCTCCTAAGGACATCCACTTTTTTAAAAAGTTGATTTTAATTTTTTCTCAGTGGACTATCAATCTGAATACGAAATTGTGAACACAATGCATTTTAAAATCATTCAGCTCAAATTTATGCTCCTGACATTTTGAAACAGGCCAAAAAGACAGACTGCACTATGAAAGTGAACGAGGAAATTAGGTTGTGCCCTATTTCTTTCCCCCCTTCCACTCCTTCAGTCTGAAACGACACATAAAGGGAAATTACCCAACAAATACACTGTGCAGATAATTTTAATCAGTATAGCACCAAGAAATAATGTGTAGAAATACATAAGTAAATGAGACCAATAAAACCAAAACAAAACTAACATAATGAACTCTCTATATGTACATTCGACAGCATGAAAGACCCAAGTGGGGGGGCTGTCTCAAATCTGGCTGGTTGTGATCTTGATGAAACTACTTCAAATGAGAAGCAAAAATCATTCTGTCATACAGCTGTTTTTTTGAAATAACTACCTCCCTCTTTTTTTCAGAGTTATTAGCAGATTATGACCCTTTCAGTCTGTTATTTTGTTATCTGAATCTAATTTAAATCTTCCTGGGTGTGATAGTTTCACTGGGCTGGCCCTTGGCCAGCAGCCAGCACAGCCGTTCACCCACTTTCCCCCCACCCCCAGGGGACAGGGGAGAGGATTGGGGGGCAAGGGTAAGGAGGCTTGTAGGTTGAGATAAGAACAGTTTAATAATAGAAATAAAAGAAAACTTAAAACTTACCAGTGTCTCTGTCATAACAAGTCCCAGGCTGGAAAGCAAAATGCAGCAGTGTTCTAACTACTGAAAAAGAAACCCAGCTCTGTTTCAGCTAAAAACCAGGACACTGGGACAATGAAATGCCAAATAAGTGCATTTTAATAGGCGACAGCCCTACCAGATACTCGCAGATCTGCCTTAGTCTGCGTCCCAAAGCTTGCACATGACTCAGAAAGCAGTTAGAACAAGGATGAAAGATCAGTGGTGAAATTATTGTTACAAGAAACAAACTCAAAGTCAAGTAAATGGACACTGTTTCCTACCTTAAAATTAAAAAGAACATTTTCTAGGAAAGAAAAAGCAGCACCTGCACAATGTGGCCCTCAGCAGCACAGGCTGCACTGCAGCCAGGGGGGAGCTGCATGGCTGTGTATCAGAGCTCCCACCTACCTCACTGCTGCTGTGCTGTTAACCCTTCGCTTCTTTGACCTTTTACAGTCAGGAGCCCGAAGTAGCCCAACCAGTTGAGGAAAAGTGAATTTACCTTATAATCTCCTTGGAGCAGTTCTGCTTACCTTTTCTTATTTCACTGATGCAGTCGGGATATTTGAAAACACTGAAAACCAAAGAAAAGTGCAATGATGGGAAACAATTATGATTGCAAAGAGTATAAAGTTATCACTCTCCAGCATGAGGAAAGTATGTGATTTAGTTACTTAAAATAATAAAAGATTTTTATTGCAAATAAATCCAAGCAGAATGTAGTCAAAATGGAGACTGTAATTTCTGTGAACGCAAGATCACCTTCATTTTCTTGGGGAGAGCAAGAGAAGAGTAGAGGAGTAATGAGAAAACAGGACAGAGTTCTGAAATATCTTGTATTGCCCATATCAAAGGTAAAAAGAATAGTCTAAGGAATAACGGGAGGAAAGTCCATAATTTCACACTTTGGCCTGCCAGCCTGACAAATTCAGAATATATGCACTGAAGAAAGCTGGGGAAACGGCACAAACGTTTTGGTATCTTTAACCTGCTTAAAAAAAACACAGTTAGACTTTGTATTCTTGGTATTTGTTTCTAAATATCACACACAGAAAACAATTAAAAAAAAAAAAAAATGGACAGGGAGCAGCTTTCCATGGATGAGACTTCCATATTTATTGTTATTCCATGTGCATAGAAAATGGCAGTGAAGTTTCTTATGAAATAGGCAGGAAATGGGAGAGGTGTGGATATACTGGACTGAACTTTGTGCTTCAAAATTACACTATTCATTTTTAAAACTTTTTTTTCCTTTTAAAATTTATAACATTTTCTTGGATTTTTTTTTTTTGTGCATGATGTTTCAAATTCCTTTTAAAATGACACACTGCATTACAAATGGATGGCACTTCAGACCAATGTGGCATTTCCATATTTACACCAACGAAAGAAATTTACAAGACGTAATAGCATACAATCCTGACATTTAGTAATAGCAATAAAACAAGGGCATCCATTTTATTTTTTCTGTACAAACTATCAGAACAAGACTTTTATTCACATTAAAAAAAAAAAATCATCTTTAATTTGCTCTGACCTACACACGTTCCAAATTCATTTTACTCAATTCTCAAACCTTTCATCACATCGCCCACACCCTCACCAGACTACAGGAGCTACAAGTAATTATACCTAACACCTAAACAGAGTGAAAAACCATCCCTTCCAGTTTTTCTTCCTGACAATTCCTCACTCAAAAATAAAATAAAAATTAAAAAAAAAATCTTCCATGTTCCTTCTTTTCTTTCACTTTCACATTTCATAACCAAAACAACAAATGAGGCCATTCCATTTCTTCTCAAGCAGGATGAGAAATACACTGTTGGTTTTTGTCTTTGATGCTACACCCAGGAGTCGGGTGACCCTGGGTACTGTTCTGCTCTATACGAAGATCGTCTGGTGGAGTAAAAGTCTACATAATTTGTGGTTGATTTCAGTCCATATTGTGTTGTGTAATCTGAAGGAGCAGGAAAGTGAACTCGATCATCAAAATACGGATCTTCATAGCTATGTGGGGACTGCAGGTATAATCTGTACGCATCATAGTTTTTTCTGTTGGTATCTTCTTGACTGTAGTACAATTGCTGATGCTGTTGACAAAATGATAAGAAAATAAGCTTTGAAAATATAATTAGTTGAGAAAATACGTATTTCTCAAACTTACACACAGTATACAGAAACCTTCCCTAAAAAGTTAAGTGCAGCTCTACCAGTGATGATAGCAACACCGGTTTCAAACCTGCATGAAACGTCCCTAATTTTTAAATGAAACTAAATGGAGGGAAAACCTCTGAGGCTGCCTGCACGTCTCCTGCATTCCCTGGGGAGCTGGTCACTCTCCAAAGGAAGCACTTTTAGAGCCTATGTCGGAAGTACAGAACCTGACCATACCTACCAAAAAAAAAGTCAAGTCAGAAAAGTGGTCTCAGATCCCACTGTAAGAACCTGATAAAGTGTGTGACTATTAAAAGAAAACACAAAGGTGATGGAAGTCCAGAAGCCATTAATTGTCAGTGAAAGTGCATTAATGCCCAGTAACAAATTAACGACGCTACAGACAGACTGTAACAAAGCACTATCCTACGATGAAGTGTCCCCAAACTCCCTTCAGCTCCATCACACGCTCTATGCTGAGTCCTGTTAGCAGTGCCATGTCAAAATAAAATCTGGGGTCACCTGTAGTCGTCTGTTTTGTTCTCTTGCTGGTGAGGAGTAGGAACTGATGTAAATCGGTGAAGCTTTGCTGGAACCTGTGAGAAAACAGTTCATGGCATGAACTTCAGTCTTTATTCTTTCATCTGTATGTCTATTTGCTTCTATTATACCTAAAAGAAATTATGTAGCACCCAAACTATTAAGTCTGCAGATTATTTACTAATAATACTACTACGAATTACTAATATACTAATAATAACTTACTACTAAAATACAGGCAAATTTTGTCCATCAGCAGTAGTTAAACTGAAACCAAGAGGCTTTTGGTTGTGTTGCTGTTTTTTGTTTTACAGACTAATAACCTCTAAAACAAGGAATTTCCTTCTCTTTATTCACTGTCACCTCTACTGTTTTGTGACTTGTGTCCAATAGAAAGGAAAAGGGAGATTAGGGAAATGATGAAATCCTGGTATAATTAATTTAATAATATAACAACATTATATTATTATAATATACAATTGCACATTATTATTTATATTATTATATTATTATTATATCTAATGTGCATAGTAAAACAATTTTCTGTAATAGGATTATAAATAAAAATTCCAAAGACCTCTCAGTATATAAGCAGATACTCTCTTACTCTGGTCATGTGTGTAATTTTGAAGAAAATCATAGAGAGAGAAGAAAAACCTGCTCTGTTCCACATGCAATGAATTAAAACGGAAAACAGTATTAAGGAGTAACAAGCCTGCTAATGCAACTGTCCACATTGGGATTGTATAAACTCCTCATATAAGGAATATTTACGTATTCCAGTGAAAGTTCACCTCACTGGGATCTTACCAGTGTAAATGTCTTTGTGTGTAATGACGTCTCCTTGGCTGTTGTAATACTGCATAGAAGGTTGTGTTCTATCGTATTCAGAGCGGGGTTCTCTAATTCCTAATAAAGCCGGTGATGAGGACGTGCTGCCAACTGATGAAAGAAGGAAGATGATCAGTACTTGCAACAACAGCCTTTCCCACAGCCAGCCTCCTCTTTACTCTCTCCTCTCCCTCCCTCAGGTTTTAACAAATGAGAGCGCTGTGGGTAACGGACACGAGGAGTGTGTCCAGGAGTTTCCTGGATGGAGAACCCCAGTGACAGAAGCCATCAGCAATGGACCACGAGATTATCTTTTCACACTGTGACGGTGAGTCGCTGCTCTGTAACACGTACAACTGAAATCAGAGACCTTCCCCATTTCAGTTTGCATATGACACAGTTTGGTTGCATTTAGAAGATGATACTCCTGCTAATGTTTATGATTTTATGTAAGTTAAATAGAATCTCTAAGTCCATCCTATCACTTGGGACAGAAAAGTTTCCAGTCTGCCTGGCTGAAGTGATCCTCGCACACACGTGTATTTCTGTTCTTTGATTAGCACGCAGAAGTGTATCGTGGACGTTCTGTGCTCCTGTTGGCTGACGACCGTTGTAAGATCTTAACAACTTACTTTATGTTCTTATAGTGAACAGCTGAATCTCTGCTGTAGTTGCAAAAATTTTGTTCTGCTAAATCTTCCCTGCTTTACAGACCACTCGGGTTTTGTTGGCTGAGGAAGACTCCAACAACACAGGAGAACAAGGCGTAAAAATAATTTATAGAAATTTTGCTTCCAAATATTAATCAATGATATCTTCTTCCATTAGCTGTATCCATTACATCCTATCTCACAATTTTGTGTTATTATGGATAGTTTAATTACTGGTATTATCCTGGCATATTCAGGGATAAAAAAAGCTAAATCTGGGAGCGTCATTAAAATTCTGACACAGATCAACATAATGTGTGTGTTAACTGAGTGACTGAAACAAGAGCAGCTGTTACAGGGCAAGGGCTGCTACCACAGAACCTGCTGTGGACATGTTCTTTGCACCAAACTCCCACCTTCCTAGTTTAGGCTCGTTCATACTCCAGAACAGAAAAGCAGACTCTTCTGATTATGATTTATTGCTACACGTTCTTTGAAGCACAAGTGTTAGAACTGTCCATCGTTCTTCCTGCTTGTAGTTCAAAGACCTGGAGCAACAGTTGTTCCGCGAGTGTATCTCGGGACAGATACACTCTGCTGTGTAAGAATGTGACAGTGGGCACTGGAGTGTCCTTTTCCGCTTGGGTGGAATTTGGTCAGTTCCCTGAGCCTAAGCCCTAATTGCTTCCTCGTCACTGCTTCTTTTGAGAAGATGTTTTGGGCTCTGACAGTAGATACACAGAGCTCAAAGAGTCTGTGAATTCAAGGTGATGTTTTGATGCCGCAAATCCTGTGGAATCTGAAGCCCGCCAACAGTAACAACCAAGATAATATTTGGAGTACATGAAGTACTTGGGTGAGACCCAAGTGTTGTAGATAGAACTAGTACTAAACTGAGCGGCTATGTGAGTTAAAAAAATGGGACACCGGGTGCCCCTTCAGTAAATCTCTTCACATTTCTGGACTGACCTGACTGTATGACAGGTGACATCTGTTGATTTGTTGTTGATAACGAAGGATGTGATTTGAATCTCTCTCGCTCTAGTGTTGATACTGGTGTAATGAAATGACTTTGATTCCATCCATCCTGTGGAGTGGTAAAAAGAAAAAAAAAACCCATCAAAATGAATTGCTTTTCATTTAAATTAGGAGTTTTTGTTGAACTGTTTTCCAGTGTAGGCTAATTTTGTAATTTACCTTTTTATAAATGCTGCGGAGATCTCGGTATTGCCATAGCGTGTTCAGAACCTGGGCAGCTGCCTTGACAACTTTCAGTGACGATCTAAGGAAGAAGAGAGCGTTACATTATTAGAAAACCACTTAATTCCACTTAAAAAGAGCAGCCTTCCTGAGCTACATAACAGCCTAAATCCTGATGCCCGGAGGGCAGCCAGGTCACTCTCCAGGTTTCGATAGCGCGTGCCCACGTTGCCGCAGTGTGAGCACAGCTGTGGCCGCAGCCGCACCAACAGCTGGCACCGAACCGGATTAAACATGGCAATCGCTTCCCTCTCCAGCCTGGAAACTTTCTCCTCAGGTCACCCACATGAGGAACACAGAGAGAAGGGTTGAAATAGCTACTGTCATCGTCTGCAAGGATGAGAAGTCATGCAAAGAAACATTCTATTTAGTGCTTTTCATAAAAACCAGGACTGCGTACTTTAAATCAGCGTACAAAATTCCTAACTGTAGAAAAAAAGTAAACAAATGAAGAGAGCTGGTATTTAGTCTCCAGACATCCTCGTAGTGGGACCTTGTTCTCAGGTCTGTGTTGCCCTACCAAAAACTTTTATTGGTTGGGGAAACACTTTTCCACTCTCAGGAGCAAGGCCAGGAAAATGGCTCTAGCCGTTATTAAAAATGAGACCACGCCACCTTTCCAAGAGAAAGGGCAGTAGCTGGGAGTGGTGCTGAAGCAGGGATTTGACATTAAATGCCGCAGCACGGCACGTGTTAAACACGGGCCTTTTCCTGCTCCTGTGAAGATTCATCCAAATACAGTTTTGAAACAAAAGACTGAAAAACGGCAGTTGATGGTGTTAATCAATGAGCAGACTCTCTCAATATGTTCAAAAGATTTTAAATTTGCTTGGCGTGCCCTGTTGCCTCACAAACGTAACTGCAGATGCAACTTTACACACAGTCTCACAGACCAATGAAGTCGTATCACGGATCGCTGCGTTCACACCCGCAGCTGAACTGAGTCTGTGTCCCGTGAACATAGAGAGTATTATAAACTGTAGATACTCAAAATACCCAGTTCCTTTTGAGACAGACTTGGTTAACAAGGTGGTGGGTTTAATTCACACTGGCCAACTTGTCAGAGGAGAGATCCTTCTCTCTCCTTTCCCATCCCATCAAACGTGAGGACAGCACACAGGGCTGGCGGTATCATCGGCTTTCTGCCGTCTGCAGGAATCAGATCTGTGATATTCTGGTTTATACCAGCGTCTGCTGACACGATTTGCATCAGTCACGCTGCGAAGGAGAACGGAGCAGCAGCGCTGATCGGAGCCAGATGGGGCCCGTGGGGCTGACTGGCCGCTGACCCTGCACGACTTGGGAGCCGTTACACGTTCCTGATCCTCAGTGCTCAGCGGTCCAGGTTTTACTGCTACTAAACACAGGCACCGCCTGATAGCCCAGCGCTGAACGCAGATAACAAAACCCTGAGCAGGGGGCTCAGCACGGCCACACCCAAGGGAGTCTGCTGAGAGCCAGGTCCGCTCCATCAGCATGCGCTCTGCAGTCCTGTTTGAGCAAACCCCATTGGCCAGGGAAACTGCCTGGCAGGCCAACTGCTCCTCGCAGCCCACCAAAGGGCCAGGGCAGGCAGCGCTAACAGCTACTGTGGTACCTCCTGACAAAGGCACTGACAGCTCCGAGTACTCTTTTATCTTGCAGGTGTCTCAGAGGGGACAATTAGTTTTTAATGCCATGTAACCCGAATAGGCTCCATTCACGCGGTCACCGTGCAGCTGGGGCAGCCTCCAGCAGCTCTGGACAGAGAACGCATTGCGAGGGCTCGGCAGCACCGACCACCTCTTCTTTCTTTCCCAGTGTGATTCTGACTTTGTTAGCAACTCAGACCCCTTATTTTACTCAAAAAACCATTTCCTGCATTCTTAAGCATTTGAAATGGAATAGACAAACAGTCTGGGTATGGACTTTGTTGCCTACTTGCCTGTCACCTCTTCCTTTCGTTATGTTCACCAGCTTTTCTATTCCTCCGGTGTCGGCGAGGGCTTTGGCATTTTCCATGTTTTTACTAGTGACCTCATGCAGAGCGCAGCAGATCGCTGCCACGGTCTCGTCGGACAGGATGCTCGGACCATTGCCTCCTGGAAGTCGGTTAACCAGATCCCGCATAGCGTATTTACCTAGAGAAACCCATCAACAGAGTCAAGTAAAAAAATACATTTTGATACTTAAGATTTGAAATTATCATCACAAAACCACATCTGAAAGCAATAAAAAGAAACACAAGATCAAAACAATGGAAACCTTCCAAGAATTCACATTTTGCAGAGTCAAGAGAGACCAGAGATCAATTATTGTTTTTTTTTTTTTTCCTTTTAGCTTAAAAATGTGAGAAATTGCATTTTTGCATTAAAACAGGAGAATTTGTAAACAGGAATTATTTGGAGAAAGCAGAATAGTTCAAGGAAAAAAGTTATGCAATGTGTTCTGATTGAAGGAGTGGTGCACATTCCTAGGCTTCATTTATGGGCGGGTTAAAGGAATCCTTGGAGTAACCTGGAATTTTTTTCTTTCAGACACTCTGTTCACCTGATTTGGTACCCATAAGAGATCAGATCTCGGCTCTTTCAGATTTCAGTTACTGCCTGATGCACACAAATAATCACACTGCAGACAAAGGAAATTAAATAAAGCTGAGGTGATTTTTTTTTTTGCCCCTGTTTAGGCTGTGCTGTTAATTGGATGATTAACTGATTTTATTGAAGACGTGTATTTGTACATAACAATGAATAATGAATAAGCTTGACACAAAGCCATTACCTATCTGTTTGCACAATGTCCCCGAGGGAAAAAAAAAAACCCAACAAAAACAACCCAAAAAGGAATTCTTCAAACAAAAGGAACAGCTTTTCAAACACCTGGAGAACTGTTACCAACAACGCTGTCTACAGCCGTACCCTGCTACTGCCAACCCCTCAGCGAGCTCAACAGGCGTTTGCAGATACCCACTTAGACTGGGATTTGCTGGAGTCCCTGGTCTCTTGTTTTCTGCAGAGTTCAGACTATGTGACCTCACTATCCCTGCCCCTACCCACAGCAGTGAAGTTGCATAAAGCAGATTACTAGCATGGAGTAATCTCTGACTTCTTCACGTCTCAAAGTATTTTATACAAAGATTAGTTTCAGAGTGTATCTGGAAAGCCAATAATTCTTTCATAGGTGAGGCTTTAAGAGGTGGAGCTGCATTCCTGAACTGGAAAGTTCTGCCAGGAAGGGGGAAAAAAAATCCTGAAAAGAGAATCTGGCCCCAGTATGAGCTGTGTGTGGCTGGTGCTACAGAACGGAATTTTATTTTTACTAATTTCTTCTCTAATACCTACACTGCAAGAAAACATCTTCTGAACATCCAAGGAGAAGCTTCAGAAATATATGCCATCCAGAGGGACCTTGACAG